AAGATAAGGATTGTCACCAAGTCAAGAGTTGACCACCCCCTCATCAATAAGTCATCAAATCAATAGTTTCTAATTTTGGCCTATAAAAGAAGGCATTTGCTATGCATTTAGACATCTTGGTCTCCAGATCAAGATCATGCTTTTGCTTTCTCTCTTTGTATTTTTTTGTAATGTTTAATGCTTTGCTTTCATTAATATGAACTTTATGCCTTTCATTTACTTAGTTAACTCTTATCTTATTTATGTTCTTATTTTGTTTATTTATTTTTATTTCTTTTATTATGTTTAGCTAAGTATATTATGTCAAGGTGAAAAGGTTACACTAATGGTGTAAGAATAAGTATAGTGTAAACTTAATATAGACTTTAATATTTGATACTAACATGTTTTGTATTTGTTATCTTATTCACTCTTTAATACTTTGCTTGTTAAATGACTAATCTTGATTTATGTTGTATAACACTTGGTACAACAAATGCTTGGCACTTTCATAGCCCATACTGTATGGTATAACCGACACCTGAGCTATGAAAAGAACTTGATTTGTTGTTAGCATAAGTTATAATCATGAATGCTTGACGAGATTTACAAGTATTAGCATTAATCGAATAAGATGACTAATATAATCATGTTAACAATTTATAACCTGATTAGAACCTCCTTTGTGTGTGGTTTCCAATTAAATAATAAGAGTTTATACTATACTTGTTTGACATACCATTAGTAGATCTTTTAACCTTGACATTTGTTATTATCATTGTTTAATCGTTACATTAATATTCCATCTTGTTGTTGTTGTTGTTGTTGTTATTGTTGTTGTTTTTATTACTATTATTGTTGTTGTTATTGTTATTTATAATTTATACAATTAACCTCCCTATGATTCAACCCCGGTCTTGCCAACGATAATAAAGAAAAAGAAAAAGAAGAAGAAAAATTAATGAGAACTTAGAGATGAAAAATTAATATAAGGATTAAACAATGATAACAAACAATATCAAGGTTATAAGATCCACTAATGGTACGTCAAACAAGTATAATATAAACTCTTATTATTCAATTGGAAACCACACTCAAAGGAGATTTCATTCAGATTATAGATTGTTCATATGATTACATTAGTCATCTTATTCAATTAATACTAATACTTGTAAATTTCGTCAAGTATTCATGATTATAACTTATGTTAACAATAAATTAAGTTCCTTTCATAGCTCAGGTGTCGGTTATACCATATAGTATGGGCTATGAAAGTGCCAAGCATTTGTTGTGACAAGTGTTATACAACATAAATCAAGATTAGTTATTTAACAAGCAAAGTATTAAAGAGTGAACAAGATAATAAATACAAAACATCTTAGTATCAAACATTAAAGCCCATATTAAGTTTATACTATAGTTATTCTTACACCATTAGTGTAACCTTTTCACCTTAACATAATAAACTTAGCTAGACATAATAAAAGAAAGAAAAATAGATGAACAAAATAAGAACATAAATAAGATAAAAGTTAACTAAGTAAAGGAAAGGAAATGAAAAGCATAAACTTGATATTAATGAAAACAAAGCATAAACATTACAAAAAATACAAAGAGAGAAAGCAAGAGCTTGATCTTGATCTGGAAACAAAGATGCCTAAATGCATGGCAAATGCCTCCTTTTATAGGCCAAAATTGGGAACTATTGATTTGATGACTAATTAATGAGTGGGTGACCAACTCTTGATTTGGTGACAAGCTTTATCTTCTCTTGTCTGCCCAAAACGTCATTGATAACGTCAAAATTGGAGTCATTTGAAAACATGAAAGTTGTAGGACATTGTCTCAGATTTCGACTTCTACAACTCTAGATATGGCCAAATTACTGAATAGTGCTCGGGCTGAAGGACAGATTCGGACTTCTTTGTTGTTGTAACAATTTGAACTTGAAAATGACCTTTTTAGATCTTAGGGTCCATATAAAAGTTGTAGGCCTATGTCTTACCTTTCCATCCATATAAAGTAAATCTAAATCTGAGATCTATAGCTCCATAATGACCCAATTACCAAACAGTGTTTCAGTTTGGATTGCACTGACATCTCTTTTCTAAGTTTGGCCATCTATTTATCCTTTCTATTTCAGCTCTTAAATTCATCAATTTATCCTTTCATTTATGTGATAGACCTGCATTTAAAATGAATATTTACCATAAATTAAAGGTATCTTATATTATTAGATATATTATTATAAAACATGCTTTAGTTAAGGAGTTATTGATATTTCAAGTGCAAAATGATGATATAAAACCTTGATAAAAATACACTTTTAAGTATCAATCAGTGGTTTCAAGGAAAAAAATAATATGACACACTCATTGTGATAGTCGATTGTTTCAATTTTGTTTTGTGCTTGTCTTAATCAAGAGAACTTTAAATTTTGAAGTTATATATTAAATTTAATGTTAACAATCTAAACTCTATACACTATTCATATAATTCTGGACTTGTAGTTCCAGAAATGTAACAATGTCTTTCAAATATAAATTTAAAAATTTATGATATTTTAATATACAGAAAACAAATTAATACTTTTAGAGTAATCAAATAACCTGAATATTTTAAATACAAAAGGTAACGTAACAACTCAAAATCAAATAACTTATATTTATTAGATGATTATTTAATTAATTACAAACATGTATATGAATTTCTTGACAAGATAACATGATTTAATATATTTTTTTTTGTAATGGAAACTGCAAGCCTATTGGGTTAAATGGAAACTGCAAGCATATATATTATCACCTAAAAATTATCATTCTATAAGTTATTTATCTACAAGTTATATGTTTATTAATTATCATCTATTAGGTTATAAATTTGTTGATAAACAAGCTTAGATAATCCTGAAGACTTAATTTAATTATAGAATAATTATTTTTTTATTGAGTTATTCCCTTCCTCTAACCTCTTTTTATTTAAGAAAACTTTGAACATGAAGACTAGGTGTGTATTTGATATTATAATAATTTTTGTGGTTGCAATTTAAAAAAGTAAGTTTAAAAAATTGTAAATTGTAGCTTTTTTTAACCAATATTTCAAAAGAGTTTTCAGTAAGATGCAAAATTATAGTGTGTTAATTAACTTTATATTTTTTAAAGTTTCAGCATGCCATCACATACATCCAAAAATTAAAAAGAAAGCCCATGTCAACAATACATTGTTAAGAAATTGTTTGATGCCGATTTATCCATATCAATATTATATTTGTTAATGCAATGCATTTGGATTATTGGAGACTTGGAGGTGGCTTCTTTTTTTTTTCCTCTTTTGTTTTTTTTTTTTTTGGTTGGGGGTGTTCACAAACCT